TCTAATCATGGACAAAGCCCCAAAGAAAACTCTCTGAAAGCATGCATTTTCCTTCATACACAATTTGTTACTGACATTGGTAATACACTCCATGCCTCCAAAGAAAGGCAAGCCCACGACACCAATGTGTGAATGTGATCCAGCAAAGCAAGTGGCAGAGCTGCCAACTGAACGTGTTCTGGCCTTTCCCTGCAACTCTATTTACCTTTTTCTTACCACAGACTGGGAAAGAGATCACAAGGGCAGCCCCTCTTGCATAAAGTACTTATATGAGGAAACAAGAAGCCGGGTCCTCCAGAGCCATGCCAGTCAAGATCTGAGCCCCACTTGGCACCCTTTTTCGACTGCACTTTCCCAGCATGCCCCATGCCCCCACACCTCCTGTGGGAAGCCAGAACAACCGATGGCACCAACAAGGTGGTCAAGAATTTACCCTGCGCACTACAGAGGATGGGATGGGTGTGCTGTTTCCTAGGGCCTACAGCAGGAGGAAAAACGGAACCATGAAAGATTTACGGCCATTTTTATGATGGCTTCTGTTGAGACAGGAAGAGCCTAGCAGGAGGGGAGCAGTGTGGTGGCCTTCTGGGGTTCCAACAACCCATCGCCTCTGCTGCTTGTGTGGATGTGGTTACTAAACATACACGGGCTCAGCATTTTGTCTTTCCTCTCGGCCTTCAATAAATCAAGAAGACTGGTCACGGTTGAAGCCATGCACCTGACACACACACACACACACGCACACACACACACGCAGAGAGAGAGAGAGAGAGAGAGAGAGAGAGAGAGAGAGAGCCAGGCAGACCCCGTGGGAAAGGAAAGATGAAGACAGAGTTGGAACACCTGGGGCAGGGGCAGAGGGCACGCTGACAGGCTTGGAGAACCATGGAGAAGGACCACGGTGGTCTAAATTCCCAGAGAGGGTGAATAGGTCTGGAAGCTGAGGAAATGGGAAATCCATCTTTCTGATGGGTGGACAGGGAGCTGGGGGCAGATCCTGTATAAAGTGGCTTCTGCTGGGGTCTGGTGATATACTATGCTGAGGGCCATGAGACCTGGAAGGCCAGGCCAGAAACCACCCATAGAGGTAGAGGGTGAACCAGGGTAGCTGAAGCCTAACACTGAGCTCTAGGCTAGAGGGAGGTCAACAAGTAGGGTTTGCTATGGGCCATTTGGTCTGGGGTACGTGCAGGAGTGTCTAGCAGTATCCCTGTAACCAGGACAGTGGAGAAAGCCCTATGGTTACCATCACTGATGGTGGCCCCAGTCCTGTCTATGTTTTTTGAGCACCCTCAGATCCACTGTGATGAAACAGAGCGGAAGTCTGTGAAACACCAAACATCCACCGTGTTTAAGCATCGGTTTCAAAGCCTCTTAGAATGAATGTGCTCGGCCAGTCCTGACGCTGAGAGGCGTGTTCTTTATGGATTGAACTGCACAGCTGCAAGGAGCTGCACAAATGTTACCAACTCATTTGTCATGCAAACAGTGCTTCAGAAAGAAATAAAATACTATTATGTGGTATATGTGTTAGGCAATCACTATATCAAACCCATGGCAGGCCGTGCAAACACAGGCAGAGCGAAGGAAAACAACACTTGGTGAGAGAAATCGCACCACATGGGAGCAGCTAAGTCGGGGAGAAGGGGAGGTAACGGCAGAAGCCCGACGGAGCGAAAGCTGTAATTTTCCCAGCCATGCGGCCAGGTCTGAATACTCCTGGGGTAGAGCAAGTGGCAGAATGACGGAACCCTGACAGAGGAGCATGACCCAGGGTCCCAGGGAGGGTAGGGAGGGCCGTGGGGGCAGCAATGAGTGCTGGATAAAGCTGCAGGGAGAGCCTAAGGAGGAGGCTGTGAAGAGAACTGAATGAGCATTGGAGCCACGGTAATTGCTAGGAGAAGGGAGGTGATGAAGGACACGGGAGGGGAAGAGGGTGGTGGGAATAAGGCCATGAACTGTTTGTTTCCAGTTGTCACACTTCCCCGGCTTCTCTTCCGGATTCCCACTAAGACCTTTCACAGAACCAAACCACTGCCCCTGTCCCCAAGGCTCCCAACAGCTGCAAAGACTTGGGTGAGAGAAGAGGGTGTTCTGGTGCCCTGTCCTGAGGGCCCAACACAAATCACCTCTCCTAATCCTTGTAGCAGCCTCTGGGGATTCTGGAAAACAGGCTAGGAATGTTAATTGGGAATTAGCACACACTTGGTGGTTGCAGACAGGAAAACAAATTGCAAGGTTCTGCAGCTCATCCCCTAAATCATAGACTATAGGGTACAGGGGTCTCCCAACCCCATCTTTCATCGGAGTCCCACCAAGTGGCACAAAGTCTCTTCTGACCAAACTCATCTGCCCACGGGAGCCCAGGACACAGGAATCCTGTCTCCATGACCGATTTGGAGTCGCTTTGTAACAGATCTGCTGTGGAATATTACTTTAACTAGGCAAAGATGTGTTACACTTGTTTGTGTTGCATTTGTTTAACTATGTAAAGATGTGTTGCTGTTTTACCTTGCCTGCTTAAGGAACTTGATTGGTCTAATAAAAAGCCAAATGGCCAATAGCTAGGCAGTAGAAGGATAGGTGGGGCTAGTGAGCAGGAAGAATAAATAGGAGGAGGAATGTAGGCTCAAGAGGAGAGCGAGGAGATAGAATGAGGGAGGAAAATAAGGGAGATTCTCAGGGCCAGACAGACAGACAGACAGACAGCCATGGAGTAGGACACACAGAAGGAAAGAAAGATAAAAAGCCCTGAGGCAAAATGTAGATGAAGAGAAACAGGTTAAAGTAAGTTATAAGAGCTAGTGGGACAAGCATAAGACTGAACATTCATAATTAACAAGTCTCTGTGTTTTGATTTGGTGTTCCGACAGTCCAATAAAGCCCGAAACACAGGTGTAGTGTCTGCACTATGGGATGGTTCATGAGCTGGGCAAGGGGATGGAGATTGAAAACACACACAGAGACAGAGACACAGACACAGGCCATCCTTAAATTCCCCAAGAATGTCAACTTTATTGTGCTCCAGGGCAGCTTATATAGTGCCTTCCCTGACCAACAACCATGCCTTAGCTCCCAGGATCCTTTGGTTGCAAGCCACCAATAACCACTCCCCTGTCTCGTGCTCAGAGCAACTGCAAGCACAGGAAAACAAGTTGTTTTGCTCAGAGCAGCTGCAAGCATAATGAGTTGTTTACTCTGGCAGGCAAGGGGGTCACAGGAAATTCAGGGTCTGGGGGTCCACAGTCCCCAACACACAGGTCTTTCTTTAGACTGCCAGCTCCCAAATAATGACATGGAGACTTTTTATTAAGTATGAAAGCTTGGCCTTAGCTTAGGCTTGTTCCCAACTAGCTCTTAAAACTTACATTTATGGCCCGGCGGTGGTGGCACACGCCTTTAATCCCAGCACTTGGGAGGCAGAGGCAGGTGGATCTCTGTGATTTCGAGGCCAGCCTGGTCTACAAGATCTAGTTCCAGGACAGGCTCCAAAGCTACTGAGAAACCCTGTCTCAAAAAACAAACAAAAACAAAACAAAACTTACATTTTTATTAACCTAGGTTGTAGTGAGTCTTTCTTGTTGGACTGCCAGCCCCCAATAATGACACAGAGATGTGGCCGTTAGCTGAGGCTTGCTCCCAACTAGTTCTTACAACTTAAATTGGCCTGTTTATATTAGTCTGTGTTCTGTCACAGGCATTTTACCTCTCTTCCATTCTGTACATCAACTTGCTCTGCATCTTACTGGTGTCTTCCCCAGCACCTCAGATTTCTGACTAGCTATTGGCTCTTCAGTTTTTTGTTTTTTTTAAATATTTATTTATTATGTATACAATATTCAATCTGTGTGTGTTTGCAGACCAGAAGAGGACAGCAGACCTCGTTACAGATGGTTGTAAGCCACCATGTGGTTGCCGGGAATTGAACTCATGACCTTTGGAAGAGCAGGCAATGCTCTTAACCACTGAGCCATCTCTCCAGCCCCAGTTTTTTTGTTAAGCCAATCAGAAGACACCTTTCACAAAGTGTGATCAAACAGCCCACAATACTACAGTTCTGTCACTGTGGCTTGCTACCTTCCCTCAGTGCTGTAAGTCCACCTTCCTCCCTGTCTGTCTTCCCAAAGTTCCTATTTCTGCCTGGAAGTCCTGCCTAGCTATTGGCCATTCCTCAGGCAGGTGGGGTAAACAGAGACATCTTCACACAGTGTAATCAGTATCCTGCAACATTACCTCTGTGGCCACTGAAGACCAGTCTGTCCCAGAGCTGCACTTTAAAACACCATATGTTTTATATACTTATTATATAATTGTTGGTTTTATTTTATGCATGAGTATTTTGCCCACATGTGCACCATATTCATGCAGTATCTGTGGAGGCCAGAATCAGATCCACTGGAACTGGAGTTACCAATGGTTGTGAGACACCATTTACGTACTGGGACCCAAACCCAGTTCCTCTGTAAGAGTAGCAAGTGCCCTTAACTGCAGAGAAATCTCAAACCCCCAAGGTTTTGATGTTCACCGTTGACCAAGTGCGTGTCTGAAGGAGTCAAGATAAGGGCTCAGAGAGCCTGGCATATACTCCACCACCCAAACCACGCCCAGTCACACACAGCCCCCACTCCCACCCCGAGACTGACAGGGATCGTGATCTATTGGCGTTTGCTTTCTTACACCTTTGAGAAGCTCATCCATAACATAAATCAGCATTTTATTGAATATATACCACACGCTAACACTATATTAGGATCAAATATTAACACCGCTAGGTCTAACAGACAAAGGAAAACTAGAGGGCGGGGGATGAGTTGAAAATACCCCCACCACAGCCAAAAACGACCAAACCAACTCTTGGACCTTCTCATCATGGCGGACCTGGCCGCCAGGCTCCGCCCTTCCCAATATGGCGCCCAAACCCGACCTTCTCATCATGGCGCGCGGCCCCGCCCGCTCTGCCGCGGCTGCCGGCGGGAGCAGTTCCGGGTGCGGTGCGCGCCGGGGGCGGGCGAGGGGGCGGTGTCCTGGCCATGGCCGGCCTGTCGGACCTGGAGCTGCGGCGGGAGCTGCAGGCCCTGGGCTTCCAGCCAGGCCCCATCACCGACACCACTCGGAACGTCTACCGCAACAAGCTGCGCCGCCTGCGGGGCGAGGCCCGGCTGCGCGACGACGAGCGGCTGCGGGAGGAGGCCCGGCTGCGCGACGACGAACGGCTGCGGGAGGAGGCCCGGCCTCGGAGCCCCGAGCGGCCGCGGGAGGAGGCCCGGCTCCGCGAAGAAGCACCGCTGCGCGCGCGGCCCGCCGCGTCCTTCTTGCGGGCGGAGCCCGGGCTCTCCCCGCCGGCCTCGAGCGCGGCCCCCGACACCTCAGGGCCTTACGGCGACTTCGGGGCCTCCGCCTCTCCCTGGGCCCGAAGCCGCGGCCTCGCCTACCCCGCCCGCCCCGGGCCGCTGCGGCGCCGCGCCTCTGTCCGGGGCAGCTCCGAGGAGGACGAGGATGCCCGGACGCCCGACAGGGCCGCCCTGGGCCCGACCCGCCACTGGTGGGCCCCGTCCTCGGCCTCTGCGCGGCCGCCCTCCGCGCTCCTCCGCGCCGACGCGCGCCCCGGCCCGAAGGCCACGCGAACGGGCTCCGCGGGCGCCGTGCGGGCCCGACCTGAGGCCGGCCGGCGGCTGGAGCGCTGTCTGTCGCGCCTGCTGCTCTGGGCCAGCCTGGGGCTGCTGCTCGTCTTTCTGGGCATCCTCTGGGTGAAGATGGGCAAGCCCTCGGCGCCGCAGGAGGCGGAGGACAACAGTACGTCCCGGGCTGGCAAGGGGATGGCTCAAAGGCACCGACTGCCTCTCACTTTCCTCCTTCCAGCGTCTGCAGCACTTTGGGCTCCACTTTATCTTCCTCTCTGCTTCCTCTCCCCGCTAGTGTCTCCCTTTCAGCCATGGCTAGGGGCAGGTTGAGTTCTTCCACAGCCTCTGGAAGAGAGAGAGCTACACGCCTACTCCTGACACTCCTTGCCCCTCGATTTCCTTCCCTTTTCACCTCCTGCTCATTCACACGACAACCCCTTTGAAGGCTCCAGAGAATCACCCGGCGCCTGGGAGTGCCTGGTTGTGCCCTGAGCTTTGTAGCGCCAAAAAAACCAGGCCTTCATCTGTCCAAAGGATTCTAGCCCTGCCTGTGGGACAGGTGTAGGAGAGTCTTTGCGCTTAAACTGATCCTACCAATGGGGTGCTTAAGGCTGTGCTGGGAGAGGGCCTGTGAGCCAGGCAGCTTACCAGACATCTCTGCCCACACTCAGGTATATGACTCCACATCCCTGGAGGGGTGCAGGAGACAGCCGAGGATTGGGGTTTCCAAAGGGAAGCTGCCTGTTACCCTTGATTCTAACAGAAGAAAAAAGTTTTCGTGATAGTTCCCTTCTCTGCTCTAGGGGGATATATTTTAGGTCTCATGTCAGACAAGCATGCCACCACTGAGCTACATTCGCCAGCCAACTTCTGAAAATGATTTTGAAGCAGGGGCTCCCTAGGTTACCTAGGCTAGTCTTGAACTCACTTTGTGATTCAGGATGGCTTTGAACCTATGATCTTGCCTTAACTTCCCCTAGCTGAGTCACCAGGCCCAGATCATTTTATAACAAATCTAGGTATAAAAGGAAACTTGAGTTCTCCGGTTGCTAATATTCTTTGCGAAGCATGAAGGTGGTTAATACTCTTGCCAGCCTTGAGTCAAACTCAAGTCTTCCCATGCCTAGCAGGAATGGCTGGCCCACTGTGGCAGGTGTTGAGGTAAATGGCTGTTTGGGCTAACGCCCACAGGACTGCTCCACCGTGGCTGGAGCTGCTTATCAGCTTGGAATAGTGTATGGGCCTCCTAGAGATCTGCCGAACTGATGCCAGCGCACTGTGCTGGGCTGTGGCCATTCCGGACCTCACCTTGTGCTGTGCTGCTCCTCGCTGCTTAGGATGATTCAAGACAAGCTTTAAGAATTCATAGCCAGGATTTCCTAGAGTTCCCTCCTAAAATAGTATTCTTACTTGGCATACTGTCGTTTACGGTGCATAAGACTTGTCTGTATGTTGTCTTGAGCCTAACTCCCTGAGTTAAGTGGGGAAGGCCATTGTTTTTATTTTATGCATATGGGTGTTTGGCCTACTGTGCATCTATACCACATGCATGTAGTGCCCAAGGAGGCCAGAAGAGGGCATTGGATTCTCGGACCTGGAGTTAGAGATGGGTGTGAGCAGCCATGTGGGTGCTGGGAATCGAACCCACGTCCTCTGCAAGAGCAGACAACATCCTCTCTGTAGGCCAAACTGACCTCAAATTTGTGGCAGCCCCCTCCTTAGCCTCCTGAGTGCTGGGATTACAGCTGTGTGCACTCCCTTTTAGGAAGGTCCGGGGGACCCCATTTCACAGATAAACAGGTGCCAAGGGGTTAAATCACCCAAGAACCTGGCGCTCATTTGCAGCCCGAATGAGGTCCCAGCTCTCCGTGTCCTGGTCCAGCACGGGAACCCCTTGGGTCTTCCTGTCCGTCTGTACATGCGTCAGTGTGGGATGGCGTCTTCCCGGCTCCACTTCGTGTCGGCCAAGTTTGGCTTCCCTTGGATTTTGAGAAGTCTCTGTTGTCTTTTGAGTCCCACCGCTAATCTCTGCCTTTCTTTTCTTGATCTCAGTGAAATTGTTGCCGGTGGACTGTGAGAGGAAAACAGATGAGGTGAGTTTCTCTGCCGTTTTTACTCTTCTGAAGACTCGAGCCTCTGCCGGGAGGTAAACTCCCAGGTCATAATAGGATCCTTTTCAGGGAGAGCTTCCCAGATTGTACCAGAATCACATCGTGTTCTGTGAGGTCTGTGTCAAACTGAATATGGAGGACTGAGCTCCTCAGATCCAGCCCTGGGCTTCTTACAGATGCTCGCCTATCAGTGGGAGTATCCGAGGCGGTTCAGGGCCTGGGGGTTGGCGCACCTCTCCAGCCCACTGGTGTGGAATGCAGGGCTGCTGGTGGCTAACATGAGATCTCAGGGTTGCCCTTCCTCAGGTGTGCATCTGTCTTCCTGGCAGTGTTCTGATTGCAGATTTGACACATCAGGGGGCCAGTTGAGGGGAATTAGCCCTCTTAGCCCATGTTTCGATTTGTTTTATGAAGCCCTCACATTCCCCACAAATAATGTTTAGGGAAGGAGAGTGGCCCCGGCCTATGAATCATGTGACAGCATTCACGCACAGCCAGGAAGCTGGTTCTGTGATGGTCTGAGGAGGAGAGGAGGCAGTAAATTTTCAGGTCATAAATCCACCAGGAGGAGGCGCTTGCTGCTAGAGGGCATGACTTAGTGCTCTAGTTATTAAGTGTGGGTGCCAGGCCCCTGCAGCCAGGGGCTAGCGAAGGTAGGGCACCCGCATTGGCTCTTCTGTTAATGAAGGGCAGCCTGCTGCAGATACCCTGCTTTTATTTCCTTGGCTTCTGACATGTCCTGTTTGCGGGTGGTTTACGACGTTCCTTTATTGCTGTCATCCACCAACCATTTTTGCTTCCCAGTTGTTCTGCAAAACCAGGCTTGTAATAAGTTTAATCTGCTCTCCATCATAAAGCTGGCCTGGTGATTACACAGTGCGCTCCAGAAGCAGGCAGCCAGAGAGGACAAATGCAAGAACGAGAACACTAGAGCTTTCTACCAGGACCCTCTGTCCTTAGTCAGAACAGGCTCTTTGTCCTAGTCCTTCATGATCTGCAGAGGTGGGAGACCTCAAGTGAAAGGCACATTTGGTTCGGTCCTTCTGTGAGCCAAGATCTGCGTGCCCAGACAGACGCCCTGCAGGTCCTTGCTGGACTGTGCCAAGCTGCTCCCTTCCACTGACTGGCGCTCTGGGCTTTGGGCTCTAGACTTTGAGGATTTGTAACCAATCCCACATCTGCGATAGGACAGCCATAGCCACACAAGATTCATTTTCTGCTTGCTTTGGGCACGGTTGGCCTTCATGGCAGGTGGGCCCAGGAGCAGGCAGGCAGGGACATACTTTTTGGCCCCAGTGAGGTTCTTGCTGAGTTTCTTTTGGGTGGCCTGGTTCACCCAAAATCCAGACAGGTATTTAAGTATCAGCTAAGTGTTCTTAGTCTTGTCGGCAGCAGAGGATTCTGACACTTTTTCTTTCTGCCTCTGCTGTGGAGAATGTAGGGACAGGCTGGGAGTGGGTGTGTTGTCTTAATCTGGCCGTCTTCTGTCTGGTACCATCTGCCTGTTTCCTCTGGGTCGTGTCAGCCCGTGCAAGTGGTTTGTATGTGAGCTCACGTGGAGTCCCCACTGCAGTCCACTAGTGGTTCGTACGTGAGCTCACGTGGAGTCCCCACTGCAGTCCACTAGTGGTTTGTATGTGAGCTCACGTGGAGTCCCCACTGCAGTCCACTAGTGGTTTGTACGTGAGCTCACGTGGAGTCCCCACTGCAGTGCACTAGTGGTTCGTACGTGAGCTCACGTGGAGTCCCCACTGCAGTCCACTAGTGGTTTGTACGTGAGCTCACGTGGAGTCCCCACTGCAGTCCACTAGTGGTTCGTACGTGAGCTCACGTGGAGTCCCCACTGCAGTCCACTAGTGGTTCGTACGTGAGCTCACGTGGAGTCCCCACTGCAGTCCACTAGTGGTTTGTACGTGAGCTCACGTGGAGTCCCCACTGCAGTCCACTAGTGGTTTGTATGTGAGCTCACGTGGAGTCCCCACTGCAGTCCACTAGTGGTTTGTACGTGAGCTCACGTGGAGTCCCCACTGCAGTCCCCACTCAGGCAAGGCCCCATGCTTCCCACGGTCACTGACATTCCGCACTGTCCCCTCTAGTCTCTGCAAGCTGTGGTGCCAATCCTTGCTCTTCCTTCTCAGGAAGTCGAGCTAGAGCCATGGGTAGCCATCCCTTTGTTACTGTCTTTATGCCGCAGAACCGAGTCTCCCTGCCAGCCCTCTGCAGATGTATTTCTCCCATGTAGAACTAGGAGGTGGGGGTGGATGTGCGCAGTTGGTGAAGTGACGCCTAGCGCACTTGAGGCCCTGAGCCCCATCTCCAGCACTGCATACACCAGGCTTGGCACAAGACAGTGGAGACAGGAGCACAAAGATCAGTTTAGTTACATAACCAGTTCACGGCCAGCCTGCTCTACATCACACTGTGTCTCAGGAAACAAATAAGAAAGCCCTAAAGCGTAGAGGTGTTCCTTGTTGTCCAGATGGACATGGCAGTGTGACTGCAGACCCTGGCAGACCCTTGACTGTTCTGCCTTTCAGTTCTGCCAGGCCAAGCAGAAGGCGGCCTTGCTGGAGCTGTTGCACGAGCTGTACAACTTCCTGGCCATCCAAGCAGGTGAGTAGCCCCCAGCCTTGCAGTGCCCAGTCAGTCTGGCCAAGACAGCCCACCACTGCCAAGCCTCAGTTTCCTACCCACCACTCAAACTCATTGTTCCCAGCATTGTGGGCGTGCAGTATAGACCTGGATCTCCCTTCTCCTTCAAGGCTTTAGGTCCACCAACACATGGGCCTCTTAGCCCAAGACAAGATTTTGCCTCCCCCTACTTGCTAAGGGGCCCTGTGTTGGTTGGAAGGGAGCAGGCCTTGGAAGACCCCTGGACCTGAGGCACTGGTCTTGGTCTCCTTGTTTGTAGGAAGGCCCAGGTGGTCTGTGGCAGCCTGCCGTAGGGCTGCTCCACTCTATGCTAGTTCTCAGCTCCCATCACCTTCCTTATGCCGTCCAGGGCCTTGGCCCCTGCTGCCCTCAAGGCAAGGGCTGAAGTTCACTGTTGCCGAGAGGAAATAGGAAGTACACCTTTCCCTTCCCCTGCTAGAGATGAGCCATGGCCTGGGTGTTGTCCTGGCCCTGGTAGGATATGAAGTGGATGCTTGTGTTCTTATAGGACAATGGGCCACGCTGCAGGGAACAGTGACATAGCCAGAGCTGTCAGGAAAATACTCTGCCAGCACAGCTCTACCCGGGTGTGTGTGTGCAGGGAGGGGCAGGCAAGGACACCAAAATGACAGGCAGTAATGGGCAGGAGAATAGGGAGTAGTGTTAGGAAGTCAGGTGTCAGGCCATAGGAGCCCAGTCTAGCAGGTTAGGCCATGACGTGCTGTGAGAGCCGGCTTCCGAGAAGACAGAGGCCTAGTGGCTGGATGATGCTGTGCCATTAAAGCAGAAATCATCTTTAAGCCTCATTGGCCAAGCTCTGAGATGGAAAGAGGACAGAAGAAACCAATCAGGGCTTGAGGTCCCAGCCAGGGCAAGGCTAGTCCAGGTGTGGCAGGAGGATCAGAGCAGCTGCCTCAGCCTCAGAAAACGCAGGGCCAAGAGCAGTGTTGAAGTAGGAAGACTTGGCTGTGTTAGAGACAACTCAAAAACTGCTCCTTTCTCCAGTGCACATATACATACACCCCTTGGCCAGGCTGAGCCTCCAGGCGAGGCTGTGCATGAGTGTCAGACACCTTGTATGTGCCTCATCCTATGCCGTCCCTGCAGAGCCTGGCGGGAAGCCCTTTGGAGGAGGGCCTGCAGCCGCAGCAGCAGCAGCACGCTTAGGTCTGCTGGGGCATCTCAAGAGGTGTCTTTAGCCCAGGCCTTGAAGGCTGGCAGGACAAGGTGGGGCCAGCCTCTCGGGTGCTTAGAGGAGCTGCCCTTGGCATGTCAGCTGACGCCCCACAGACTCTCATCTTTCCCGGGTCCCTTCTGGACATCACTCCCCAGGATCTCTAACAAATGGGCTTGGCTTCCAGGTTCCAGCGTGTGTCCAGATCAGAGTCTGGTGGCCGCCTCCCGCCCGTCTTTTCCCAGGCTGTGTGTATTTATAGTGCCATTCCGCGCTCTGTCTGATCCTTCTAGGATCAGCCGCAAACAGACTTCGGCATTGGGCAGCTTTTCAGTCATTTAATGCAAATCGCTGCTCTGCTTTGCAGGTCAGGCTTTAATGATCTGGAATCGATCCAAGCTAAGTGGCTTTTGATCTTGCTGCAGAGTGAAGATGCCCCACAGAAGCTGGGTGCCGCTGGACCAATGCTCCTGATCAGAGCTGATGGCTTGATTCTCTGTATTTTTAGGCCCTTTCCGAGGGTTTGGTTTTTCACCTCTTCTCTGTTTGAATGTGTCTTTCCCCCCTCCTAGGTAATTTTGAGTGCGGCAATCCAGAGAAGCTAAAAAGCAAATGCATTCCTGTTGTGGAGGCTCAGGAGTACATAGCTGTGAGTAGGCTGACTGCTGCGCCCTGCAAGGCTGCAGCTTCCTGTTGATTTGTCGGGCCCTGCACTGCTGCTCCCTGCAAGGCTGCAGCTTCCTGTTGATTTGTCGGGCCCTGCACTGCTGCTCCCTGTAAGGCTGCGGCTTCCTATTTTTTCCTTCCCTTGTTTTGTATTTGCTTTGCTGCTTTTGATTTTCTTTCTTTTAGATTTAGTGGATCATTGGGCCACCATGGAGGGGACTGTGCCCCAGGGCTAGTCTTGCTGAGTGTGGGCAGGTGGTCTGGTCCAACCTGAGGCCCCTTCACCAGCTGAATGGCCATGGCAGGCAGCCCCTCCTTCATAGGACCTCAAAGAGTCCTCAGGCCTGCCCCTTGGGAGGCACACCTGCCCTCAGTCTCCTGTCCTCTGTGACTCCTTTTGGCTGCTCAGCTTCCATTTGCCTTTCTTTGTGCCTCTGTGTGGTAGAATTATATAGCTTCAGGGTTTGTAGGGTCTGAAGGGCGGTGTAGTTTAATTTCACCTCATGGATGAGGAAACTGAGGTCTGTAGAGGGCCAGGGAGTTTCGGAGGCTGGATAGCTGGGACCAGCCTCCAACCCTGGTGCTATTTTGTGTCCCCCCACTCCTCTGGTGCCGGCTGTGCCTGCTTGCTGGCTGCTGCTTCAGCCTTTGCTTAATGCCTTCCTTGCTGCCTCAGACCTGCCTTGTTTGCCCACTGTGCTTTGCATCATCCTTTTGGCCTTCTTCCTCCCAGCTTGCCGTCCCTGCCTGTTTTCTGTGCATGAGCATGTGGTGGGCACGGGAGAGGGCTTTGCAATCCAGCCTCAGAATCTTGTCCTGGCAGCTGCATCTGAGGCAGAACTAACCCCATCTTCCACCCCACAGAATGTGACCAGCAGCCCCTCTGCAAAGTTTGAGGCCGCGCTGACCTGGATACTGAGCAGCAACAAGGACGTGGGTATCTGGTGAGTGTAGCTGAGCTGCCACTATCCTCCCCGTGCGGACTTCTTCACGTACCCAAGGCCTGGAGCGAGACAGCAGAGGGCAGGCACGGTGCTGCAGACTAAGGAGCAGCACCGCTCAGTCCAGATGTTGGGGTCCGAGCCTGCTAATTCATCTTTCAGTCCTTCCTCTAGTAGCTGCCGCCGACCAGCTCACCGAGGAAGGAGATTGTCTGTGCCTTGCTCTCACTCAGTATGGAGATGCCTTGGGAAGTGCTGACTTCTCTTCTGACCAGGCAGTTTCCCTGAGTTTCCATTGCTAGCGAGCACTATTAGCAAAGGTAGTGGTGGGGAAGGAGCCCCCAGCCTGTGCCAAGCAGCCCTGAAGATGCCTGCCCTGCAAAGGTGCGGGACTGCACAGTCTCCTCCATAGCTCTTTGTCAGAATCTCTGTTCCGGTTCCAGCTCCTGATATTAACACACACTCTAGGGTTTTGTTCTCTTTTTCTCTGATCCACCCAAATTACTAATTCCATCACACTGCATCCACACAGCCCCTTGGCGGCTCGGCCTAAAGCTCGGTAACTGGATGCGTGGCACGATTAAGATCCAATGGCTTAAAAGCAGCTGCCCTGAGCGGCTGAGCGATTTTCCTGTGTTGAGAAAGGCAGAGGAGAATACGGATTTTCCCCTCCACAGCACGCACTGGAGCTGCCAGCACAGAAGAATGATGACACTTGCCTTTTCCTGCTGGGGAAGGCAGCTGGAGGGTGGCAGAGCAAGCTCAGACAGTCATGTTGAAAATGGGGCGTCACGTAGCAGCCATTTCAGAGAGAGCATGGGGTGGGCATCGGTGTCCCTGCAGATCCTCACATGCCTCACCAACCGCTTGGCTCAAAGCAGGGTGCCAGGGTCTGGTGGATCCCAGTTGCCATGGGCCTCACGGGTTACACTTAAACAGCTTTCGCGCCTGCTCCTCACAGAGGGAGAGCACTGCTGCCCAGCTTACATCTTTCAGTTCCACGCTCCTGCAAAGCCAGGGATTCAGTAACACATTTTCGTTTCTCTGTGCTGGGAGGTGGGGTCCAATTTATAGCTTAATCTTCTGCACGCTGAAAGAGGCTGCCAAAGACCCGGCAGAGGGGGACGCCTCGTCAGCGGCAGGGGTTCAAGCTCGCTGCCATCTTTAAAGCTGCTGCTTCCTAAGTAGCCAGTGTGGGGCTTGCAGGAAGCTGCTCTGAGCAAGGGAGGCCCCAGCCCTCCATGGTGGCCTTGCCTGCAGGCTAAGGTGAGGTCAGGCCAGCACATTTACTGCCCCATCTTGTTTCAGGTTGAAAGGGGAAGACCCGTCTGAGCTGGTGACGACAGTGGACAAAGTGGTCTGCCTGGAGTCTGCCCGGCCCCGAATGGGTGTTGGCTGCCGCCTGAGCCGTGCCCTGCTCACTGCCGTCACCCACGTGCTCATCTTCTTCTGGTGTAAGTCCTTGCTGCCTGCCATGCTCTCCTGTCCCTTCCCATCGTGCCTCTTGCCAGCAGCCCAGCTCAGTGGCTGCCTGAGCATGAGGAATGAGTCAGGCACCGAAGGGTCATTTCACCTCACGCTCCTGGGAGCTAGTTAATAAAGCAGGAGCTGAGCAGAACGGCCTCGGCTTTGGCTGTCTGTACCCTCATGGACTCATGGCTAGATCTGTAGCATAGCTTACATAGGAAAGGGAACCAACAGCCTCTTGAGAGGAGTGGGCCCTGTGGGAGTCGGCCTCTGCTGCTTCCAGTGGCCCAGTCAGATTCCCACTGCTCAGACCAGCTCCATGCAGGAGGAACATGGCAAACGTCTGCAGAAGTGAAGGCAGAGTGGATGCAGATGCAGGAGAAAAGGGAGCCTGGTTGTCTCCTTCCAGTGGTAGCTGGCTCTCTAAAAGGAACAGCTGGGGCACGGAGATCATAGACTGCCTCATGCAGTGCCTCCCCTGGGCCAGGTGTTATCACCAGCTGCAGCCTCTCAGAACACAGGCCTGGCAGTATGTTTGTATGTAGTTCCAGCCTCAGAACACAGGCCTGGCATGTATGTTTGCACGCAGCACAGGCTCCAGCCTGTGAGGGAGAAGATGATGTGAGTTCGGGATGGGCTGAGGTCTGGGTACCTGGGACCCTCAGGTGACAACCGCTGGAGAAAGATAATCACTTTGTAGCCTGTCCTTGCTCAGGAAATGATGGTGTTCCGTTGTGTTTCAGGCCTGGCCTTCCTGTGGGGCCTCCTAATCCTTCTGAAGTACCGATGGCGGAAGCTAGAGGAGGAAGAGCAGGCCATGTACGAGATGGTGAAGAAGATTATAGGTGCGTGTCCCCTGGCAGAAGGGTGCCTGCACCTGCTGGGCTGCTGCTGACCACTTCCCTCTCTCCCGTAGATGTGGTCCAGGACCACTATGTTGACTGGGAGCAGGACATGGAGCGCTACCCGTATGTGGGCATCCTCCACGTGCGAGACACCCTCATCCCTCCACAGAGTCGGTGAGTCCTGCTGCTGGGGGAGGCCCACTGAGACCCATGGCAGGGAGCCATGTGACTAGCCTCCTGGGAATTGCGGCCTGCCCCTTGCCTGCTTGACTCGGAGTGGCAGAGGAGCTAGACAGGAGGGCAAGAGGCATCAGCCGCACCTCTGCAGATTGCCAGTTGGGCTCTAGCCAACATGCTGAGGCTGAGTCCTAGTCCCTCGGTGGTTGCAGCTGCAGGGGTCTCCTGTTCCTGTGAGTCCCGCCTGGATGCTGTCTGCATACCTTGTGTTTGTAAGGTGGTGGCCACCAGCAGCCACAGCAGTGTCTGCCTTGTCCCAGCTGACGGGAGCAGTGGACTTCAGGCACTGTCTTCCAAGCAAGAGCAAACCTCCTGTCAGCCTTTGGGCACACCCCCTTTTGTGGTTCCCTTGGGCCAGCATCAGTTTGCCTTTGAGTTGGTCACTGGCCAGGGGACAGAGGGAGCTTTTCGGGCTCTATGACCATGACCACGAAATTGTACACCTGCTGGAGTGGATGGGGCACCCCCCCCCCCCCGCCCAGTGTCAGCATAGACTGCAGCCCGTCAGAGTAGACTAGGTTGTTCTCTAGCTGACTGTCACCTGCCATACGTCCCCTGAGCTCGTGTGGCCTCCACACACACACACACACACACACTATCCTGGTGCTAAGAGAGGGTTGCATGGAAGGGAGGGGAAGCCCAGGCTTTGGGAATTGAAAGGACTTACTCGAGACTGCTGTGGTAGCTTCTGTGTGCTCCCCCCAGGTCTTGTCACCTACTCAGACTGCTGTGGTAGCTTCTGTGTGCTCCCCCCAGGTCTTGTCACCTGTGTGTCACCTTTCTGTGCAGCCACTGGCCGAAGAGTCTCACTTAAGCCCAGGCAGGCCTTGAACTGATAGTCATCGTGCGGTAGCTTCCTCAGTGTGGTGTGACCAGCGGCCACTGTGCCCTGCTTGTGAGCCATTTTAAACCGGTGCTGCTTCTGGGTTTAGCGGCAGCATGCTTTTCTGGTGAGCAGAAGTCCTGGCTGCTCTCCAGCAACATGCATACATCTGGCAGGGAGTCCCTGTCCACAGGAACCACTGCTGCTCCTAGAGGTCAGCTATGGGTCTTCAGGTGACTCTATCTCTCAGGGGAATCCATTCGCTGCACCTAGACTCCTGCTGGGAGTTGTGCAGCCAGCCAGTCTAAGCCTTGTTCTCATACAATGGGATTCCACAGCCTTGCAGAGGGCTCCCCTGTAGCTGTCCACCCCCACACATGGGTCACTTGCTGTGCACTGTGGAAAACCCAAAGTCTACACCCTGGTGGAGCATTAGAGAAGGAAGCATAGGAAACCATGTGACACTGGGCAGTTCCGGGTCCTTGGAAAGGGGACAGATGCTGAGGAGGTGGCCCTGCCCTGGTACTCTGCTGCAGCCAGGTCACCCACATCACAGGCTTGCTCAGCGCATAGCTGAACATAGGGGTCTGAGCGCTACCAGGAGTCTCACCACTGCAGTATGACCCATCTCCTGGGCAACCTGTCTGCCAGGATAAGGGCACACCTAGGAGACTGGTGGAGATGTGAGGAGCTGGCCGGGAGCTAGTCAGTCCCTTCCTGTGGATGAGGCACTGCATCCTTAGGGACCTGGCGTAAAGGTTGGCGTCTTCATCCTTCAAGCTTTTTCTTTTGACTGTGTAGCATTGGCCTGCCAAAGGCAGAGGCCATCTGGCTACCACGGAGAAATGACTTCCTCCATTGTCCTCTCTCTGGAGGCCCTGCCCCCACACTCAGACCTGCTCTTTCCCCACACATGGGGACGGTGGCCTTGGTACCACTGGGGCCGTAAAGGGAAGATATGGCACTCATATACACCCCGTCATGGAACCTCTTTGTTAGGAAGGGGAACCCACAGAGCAGGAAGTGGCCCCTGGTTCTAACTCCCGGAGAGGTGTCTCCTTACTCAGAGGCTTCACTTGGCCTTCCCCCACAGTGCCGGGACTGGACGGCTCTGATAGGCAGCATGCTGGACTTGGGTGCAGCCTCCACAGTGCAGGTTAGCTGGTGAGCGAGGCACAGTCCCCACGTGGACCTGGGTGCCCACCACTGCCAGCTCCTTCAGGCCCTTGTGCTAAAGCTGTGGAGTTGGTAGAGCAGTGCTCTGCTCTCCAGCTGGACAGGTGCAGCGAACCTCTAGAAACACCCTTCTGTGGGACAGGTAGGCCATGCCAGCCTGATGCCTGCTGAGCTCTACCCTCCCATTGCAGGCGGCGCATGAAGCGCGTGTGGGATCGTGCTGTGGAATTCCTGGCTTCCAATGAATCGCGAATCCAGACTGAGTCCCATCGTGTGGCGGGGGAGGACATGCTGGTGTGGAGATGGACTAAACCTTCCTCCTTCTCTGACTCAGAGCGATAGGAAAGGGCCTGCTCCAGCCAGCCTGGCCTGGCCACCCAGCTGGGGCAAGGGCACAGACAGACCTTCGGTGCTCATTCACGCCTGCCTTGATTGCCCTCCAGGTCTCAGTTCTGGGACGTGTGGGCTTCCTTAGGAGAGCAGGGTGAGGCTCCTCTATGCCAGTCTTCCTGACAGAAAGAGAAGGGCTGGCTCTCCCTGGATGGAAAGACTGGCAGTGGTTGGAACCCTGGAGGTTCCCAGAAAGCCAGACAGCAACCCCACGTTTGGGAGGTGGGTCGGGTGGTGGGCTGGGGCAGCAGGGGAGCGGTGGCACTTGGTCCGCGTGCCTTTGCAGTGTTTCCCAGGGAGCTTGAGGGTGAGGGAGGAGTCCTGTCCTGCTGCTGCATGAGCCTCTTTATCCGAAAGGGGAAGATGCTAGCCGGTGAACCAGCTGTAGGGACGGAATAGGTGGCCAGGATCTGGAAAGGGTGGAGGGTCCAGCCCCAGCTGCCTGGGCCTCAGTGCCTCTCCAGATGAAAAGTCAGCCCTGAACCAGGGCGGAGCCTCAGCCTCCTGCAGGCTCACCACCTTATTTTACTGTGACGACGCCTCTCCTGGCTGTTGAGCTGGAACAGGGCACAGGTGGGGTGCAGCATTGTGGCTGCACACTGCCCCCTTCAGGCTACATGGAGCAGCGTGGGCCATTAGCCTGCTGTGCAGTAGAGGGCCTGCTCCGACACACCCAATGGGGAGCCTCATTAGCAGAGAGGTAGACTCCAGCAACTCCTCCAGCCAGCCTCACCCACAGCCCAGGAGGGCGGCGGTGGGTGTGAGGCATGCCTGCCTCCAAAGGCACAAACGCCCGCTCTCAGACCTGTCACCGTTCTGTTTCTTAATAAAGCACCATCTCCACTTAGCAATATCTCATTTGCTTGTGTCTGGGTGATCAGCAGGACTGGGGTCTGCGCAGGGGCCTGTGGCAAGGCCTGTTTTCCTGTTCAGGCTCCAGCTAGAAGAAGCTTTTGTATTGGGGTGGGACTATTGGAAGAATAAAATATTTATTGAAAATGGATGTGGTTTTGTTCATAATGCTTTCCCTTTCTCCCCAAAGCAATGTTGAGTAATGAGAAGGCTGGTCCAGGCCATGCTGCCTTGGCAATGGGCTTCAGATACTCTGCATGAAGCAGCATGAGCCCCATCCAAGGTTCCCGGGAGTGCTGAATAGCCCCGGAGGGGAAAGCCAACAGAGCTGGCATGCTCCTACATCCAGGCCCGGGGCGTTAGCAATGGGCCGGTGGGCACAGAGTTGGCAAGGGGGTGCTTCTAGGAGACTATGGCTACTCTACAGGTATTCATCTCCCCCAGGTCCCCAAGGCTAGTGGTTCAGATACAAGGTAGCCTAGCTATGGTCTGTGTTTACAGCCAGTCTGCCTGGCTGTCTTCCGTCTCTGGCATCTTTTGTCTGAGCTAACCCATTGCTCTATGGCTCGGAAGCTGCTGGGAGAGCAGAATTCACAGCAACATAATAGGAAACAAAAGGCCACAGAGCTGGCACTCACAGCAGCCTGCCTCTCAGAGCACAGCAGTCTCCCAGGACAGAGGTGGGGGCTGGGGGGATCCTAGTGGCAAAGCTGTGACCTAGCAGGGGTTTTTTATTTTGTTTTGCTTGAGACAGGGTTTTTGGTAGCCCAGGTTAACCTTGAACTTCTCAGCTTCCTCCTCTACCTCCCAAGTGCTGGGATTACAGGTGCACCCCACCACGCTGGGTTACCACAGTGCTGGGATTACAGGTGCACCCCACCACGCTGGGTTACCACAGTGCTGGGATTACAGGTGCACCCCACCACGCTGGGTTACCGTAGTGCTGAGATTACAGGTGCACCCCACCACGCTGGGTTACCATATGCTAGGATTACAAGTGCACCCCACCACGCTGGGTTACCACAGTGCTGGGATTACAGGTGCACCCCACCACGCTGGGTTATCACAGTGCTGGGATTACAGGTGCACCCCACCACGCTGGGTTACCGTAGTGCTGGGATTACAGGTGCACCCCACCACGCTGGGTTACCATATGCTAGGATTACAAGTGCACCCCACCACGCTGGGTTACCACAGTGCTGGGATTACAGGTGCACCCCACCACGCTGGGTTACCACAGTGCTGGGATTACAGGTGCACCCCACCATGCTGGGTTACCGCAGTGCTGGGATTACAGGTGCACCCCACCACACTGGGTTACTACAGTGCTAGGATTACAGGTGCACCCCACCACACTAGTGCTGGGATTGACCGAAGAGATTTGCTGGGAAGCATTCTATCAGCTTCACTGCAGGCCTAGCCCTGGGGGTTTCAATGGCTCTGTCCACAGCGTCCCAGGCTGCTGACCTCGCTGTCCTGAGAGATGAACAGCTCTCTGGGGGATGTGCATGTCACTGAAGGAGCCTCAGAAGGATGAGGGACGCTATCCCACAAACCGCAGCAGGGCCATCCACTCAGGAGCTCTGAGCTGCTTTCCAGAGGCTGATCTCATGAGGAAGGTAAACAGCCATTTGTCACTGATTCATACTAAGACTTGGGTAGCAGCTGTTCCCCTTAGTTAATACACCATTGACTTTGAGCTCAAAAATCCCCATGCTGAGGTCCACATGGAGGCTCAAATCCATTATCCTGTCAGCCTCTCCTAAACAGAAGGGACAGAGAGGAGATATGTCACCAATTGTACCAAAAAGTTCTCCTTGGGACACCAGGCAGTTTCTTCAACCATGTCCCCAGGAGCGGGTCCCTAGGACACAGGAGGGACAGCAGAGGCAGAAGATTGAATGGGCGTGGTTTCCCCAGAGGCTGATGTCATCTGTACTCAGATGGGGAAGGCATAGGGCCAGCATCCACAGGATAGCCATGTCCTGCTGTGGCTGGGGACCTTGGCCAGCCTCTCTGCAAAGGGAGGTGATAATATCTCTCCCAGATGCACTGCCTGGACCCCAACGGCCAACTCCTGCCTCGGGGTCTTTGCACCCACTGCTCACCTACTCTCCGTCCCCCAGACGGAGGGATTCCTCCCCTCCTTCAGGCTTGCTCCCCCTCACCTTCCCTGTCTGAGGTTGCATTTGTACCCCTATGCCTCTCGTCTTCCAGGATTTTCCTCTACCCTAATATCTGACTTGCTACATATTTTTTAAATTATTTTTAATTTTGTGTGTTGTGTGGGCATGTGCTTGTGACTATGGGTATAGATGGTCACAACCTGGGTGCCGGGAGCCAAGCTTGGGTCCTCTGAAGGAGTCTGTGCTCTTACCCACTGAGCCATCTCTCTAGGCCCTGGGGCTTATTACAAAAGGTTTACCTAGTGTATCTGCCAACACTGCACCAGTCTCCGCTTCTCATGGCCATGTGCATCTTTGATCCTTTCCCTGAAGTGTGCCCAAGTCCTTAGCACCTGGTGCAAGAGACGCTCACTCCATAAATATTCAATAAACAAACAGACATCTCTATCCCAGAAGAGCTGGGCACTGAGCCTCTAAGGTCTAAATCCTTCCAGCTTCTGTTCAGACTGACTTGATTTTTGTTTGTGATTTTTCCTTTTAACCCGAGGGATTCAGTCCCCTCCTTTTACCTAATTAGATCCTAGCACTGCACACTGCTTTGCAGAGGGACTGCCCCACGCTGGCTCATTGGAGGTGTCTCCTGGGGATGCATGACCATCTCCTGGCTGCAAGGCCAGGAACAGACGTGTGCGTAGCTTTTCAAGGGGAATGTGGGTAGGGCATTGAACTGAGAGTGTGTGTAGGAACCCAAGCATGGGCAGCCACTCCATAAATTAGGAGAGTGTTGCCCACTGAGTGCCCCAGGCCAGGTTGCCCCAGGCTGGGCAGATGAGCAAGATCAGTCTCCAGTAAGGAAAAAGGAACTGAGGAGCAGAATGACAGACAGTCTGAGGAGCAAGGCCAGGAGATGCATTGCTAGTGATGGCTTGCAAGCTGCTTCTGTCTCGTAAGGAGACAGGGGAAAGTACAGTAATTTTCTTCGATGAAAACAGGCAACAGAATTCCCTTTGCCTCGTTCCCCTGGCAATTAAGCCCTTCTCTGCAAATGAAATGATTTGGTTTTCGTGGGGACTAATTTAAGCACACTAGAAGGGCCGCTGGACTTTTTGATTGCAAATACTAGCATGTGCAGACAGAACTGGCATTGGAGCCAGCCCGTCGAGGGAGTCCCCCACCTGGGAGCCAGTAGCCTTGGCAGTGGTCCTGATCCACGGAGCCCCTCTGTGGGGCTGACCCTCAACCCTTTGCCAACACCATCTCCTCATCCCAAATGGAGGAGGCCAGGCCAGCTCACATGGCAACCATGTACTGCTCTTGGGAGGACCCGAGCTCGGTTCCTAGTACCTACATCGGGTGACTCACAACCACCTGTAGCTCCAGCTCCACGGGATCCAGTGCCATCTTTTGGCCTTCATCAGTACCTACACTCATGTGCACATTCAGACATAGCACATACACACACACAAAAAAATTAAAAACGATATGTTTATAAAACAAAGGAGAAGGATGAGTGTCTCAGAGCTTACAGAGAACCCCAATTCTGTTCCTAGTGCTCGCTTGGAACCTTGACTCCAAAGGATCTGACACCATCTTCTGGCCTCTTTGGGAACCTGCAAACTCTTCAGTTGCTATTTCCTTCCCTTCCCTTCCCTTCCCTTTCCTTGTCCTTCTTAACTCTCCTTCCTTCCTTTCCCTTCCTTCCCCTTCCTTCCTTTCCCTCTCTTTCTCCCTCCCTCCCTCCCTCCCTCTCTCCCTCCCTCCCTCCCTCCCTTCTGCCCAGCCTTGTGCAGAGGCCATGGTGATGTCTGCTGAGCTTTGTAGTGAGGGCTACAGCTGGAAATTTCCAGGCCAGTCACTTCTGCCACAGTTATCACCAAACCAGGCCAACGTCCTCTGCAGAGAGGCGGCAGGTCCTCAGACAGGAAGGCTGCCTTACCTGTGCAGCTCTTCCAGAAGTAGCCACTGCCACAGCCACATTCCTGCACCTCATTTACATTTATGTACTTAGCAGGGAATGCATACAGTCCCAGCCAAGCAGAGATACCCAGGTGACTGGTATCTTGGCCCCAAGTTTAGCCAGCAGGGCACGGCCGGTCACAGGCTATGGAGACAGCCAGCTCTGACATCAAACATTCCAAGCCCACAGGCCCATATGCGCACAGTCTAAGGGCCTAACCACCCTGGGTCCAGGCGCCCTGGATGAGATCTTGATGGTGACTGAGAGAGATGAGCCCAGCTGGCAGGAGGGAAGTGTGAGCACGGGAAGGTGCAAGCATCCGTACAGGCCTGTGCTTCAGGAAGGAGGAGGGCTTCCTTGGAGACAGCGAGCTTCCCTACTTTATCATGTTTGCAGATGCCACAGAGCAGGGGTGGGGGTGGGGGTGGCAAATTCGCCAGACGATAGAGCTGGGATATAAAGAGGAGTTGACAGGCTGGAGCGATGGGGCAGATCTAACAAGATGAAACTTAACAGGGACAAACGTGTTTATTTCGTCTTATTTATTTGTACCCAGCCTCTGTATGTGGAGGTGGGGAGGAGGGACCTGACAGTTCCCAGGAGGAGGCAGGTGAAGGACTGCAGCTCGCTCTTCTCATCCCTGCTGGGACCCTGAGGAACCAGGGTCCCCTGGGCACGAAGGGCCTTGGCTCAGTAGGAAAAAGTCATTCCCCTGCAGTGGTACCACGCCATGACTCAGAGTGGAGGCTTGAGTCCCGGCCAAAGCTGGTATACAGGACTGCGAGGGCTCACCTGGATTGTAGACGTGGCTCTGTTCTCTGTCTGTCTGTCTGTCTTCCCCCGGCTTCCAGAAGGGCCTGCAGCAGTGAGGCAGGTCCTGGTGGTGGGAGACCCAGCCTGCAGGGACAGGAG